GGTTAACATTTAAATAGCTAATGAATTGTAATTTATTATATTAAATAATCGATATATGCTAGTAAAGAATATTTTAAAGCATTAGACAAATCTGTAAAAGGAATGGAAGAATATACTTTGCAGTATTATCGATCCGGTGTTGGAAAGTTTTTATATCTTTACCCGTATTTTCTGAAATTCAATTCGGTTTTAAACACTGAAAATACTTTAAAAGGCTACTGTATTTAATTTAAAATCTTTAAGATTTAATTGGGCTGCAATTTTTTCAAATTGCAGCTCAATTAAATCGTCTGTCTGCCTGTCGGTCCTTCTGTCTTTCATTAATCTCGAGAAGGGAGTTAGATAGATGAAAGACGAGACTAGATATAGAAAACTTACGGGTAGGAGGCCCCATTAACTATATACGAACTTTCAATGCAAACCGGAAGTCACGTTATTTCAATTCAAAACATTTTCCCTTAAACGTGTTAGATAGATGACTGGCACGACTCTATTGTTAAAAGAAAAGTATGATATACTGTACAGGGGCAAGCCAGTACTAATTTGAGGTGGAGAGCATATATTTTAAATGAAATAAATTAAAAATATGACTAAAAGTTGCAGTGTGACGATGTCGCAATAAGTAATTAATATTTACCATTTACAAGAAGCTAACTAAGTATCATCAGAATTGTACATTGATCATAACAAGATGAACGAGCAACGGGTTGCTTAACTTTCTCGGCAACATTTGGTGGCTCCATCTGTTATGATATTTTATTAAAAAAGATGTTTATATTTTTAACTGCTATAAAATAGCAAAAACCTTAATTTTTAGAATAAGGATGGGTTTTATAAAAAAAAATTGTAAATACTAATAACGAGTAAAAACGTCGTTAAATTAGTCAGACCCTACTGAAGATACACACGAACCCCATTATCTTCCCACCCCGTTGACCTTTAACCACCAAAATCTAATAGCATCAATACCCCTTAATACACAAATTTCCTGCAAAATGTCAGAACATTTCGACAAAAAGCACAGGAGTTATTAAGCTTCAAAGAGGATGAACGAAATCGTGCACCCCACATATACTAACATCCATACATATAGAAATTACACCCGAATTTCAAAATGTCCTAGTCCAAAAATATAAAAATCTTGGTGGAGTCATTTTTTGACCTATCGCCATATTTTCTTTTTATTATATACGTGGTATAACAATCGGGAAAGTAATAAATTAATTCTTTTAATAATAATAAATTAATATTAAAATTATTTATCAATAATAATCTTTAAAATAACTTATTTTAAAGGCAATTCATACAAGATTCGATCTTGTACTGTACATCTCAATACTCTAAGACGTGCAGATCAATATGTTGCACTTATACCCTTAATACTGAATGTTATCAGTTGCACTATACTTTGATTCTTTTTTATCTGAACTATCCTAACCTAATCACTACTTTACGATGGAAGATGTTCCTTTATTGCAAAATTCATGTAATAAGGTATAAATATATATACAGAAACTCACTTTGAAATGGTAAGTAGAGATGTAGAATTTACGTTCATTCCAAAGAATGGTAAACAAATTTAACGTATATTCTGTTTCCGTATTAAAATATTTATGGTTTCTGCCTTCTGAAAGTAAATATTGAGAGATCGTAATTAAAGTACACCTCTTCAATGCTGTCTGGAGAGATGTTTTGGCAGTCCAAATGCAATTAAATATGGCGTGGTGACATTTCAGGGCATGCGGAAATCATTTCGCAAAAAATTTGTAATCGAAATTTATCACTGAGGCACTTTTGGTGCTGCAAGCAAAAACATTTTATTTGTACTCCTGCTACACAGAGCTTAGAGATGCAGAAAATACTGATAAATATTGTCGCCATTCCGAATATGTAAAACGTGAAGACGATGAACAATGGGCACCACGGATGATCATAATTGATCCTTTATTCCTCTGTGATGTTTCTCAAATGCAATATGATATTGTCTTTCGAGGATGACAAATTTCGAGGATGTACAGTACAGGGGCGGATTTAGGTTTTTCGGGGCATAGGGCTTATTGAAGTCCAATTGGGCCGAATTTTTGGTAATACAAATAATACTATAAATTATCATTATTATTATATTATTAATATTAATTATGTTTTACTATACGAATTATGCTCATTGTTAATGAAAAAATTATTAAAAATTTATAATAATAATTCAATTTCTATGGGCCCTTGATACTTGGGGCCCAGAGCTTAAGCCCTATTAGTCCTATGTAGATACGCCCCTGGTATAGTACCACACTAGTGCCTCCACTACAAAATCATACGGATTAAGAACCAAAGCGCTCAAAGTTTTAGTACTAAATTTTACGGATTTATCTTCTGCATGTCTTTAAATGTCACCCTACCAATTTTGGCTGCATTTTGACTACCAAATATCGCTCTAGACAGCATTGAACAGAGGTACTTTAATTACTATCATCCGGTTCTGTGCGCCGATATAATTCTGTATAAAGTATACATACAAACATATATATAAACTCATTAAATCATGTTAAATGTTATCATTAGGTTCTCGAAATAATTATGCACAGTAGGTGCCGCTTATTGTAATCACTAACTTATACTAAAAACAATAACCAACAAAAAATTAGCGAAAATTCTAGTTTATTAAATCAGATCATTTAAAACAAGTTAAAACAATTATAAATATTTAAGAATATATTTAATAACAACATACAGATTTATTAATTATAATATTAATTATTTGAATAGTTCATTCAGCATTAATTTCACAGCAGAGAAACGTAATATGTTCCTTCAGTGATTTTAATCCTTTACAATTTTCATGTTTAAACATTAGTTTGATCAGACGCTGCACATAAATAATGTGCTGTTTCGTGTTCAATATTCCTCAGTGAATATACGGCAATACAGTATTTGGCCATTCTGCATTTATCCATAATCAGAACTTTTCTCCCGATGTTCTCTCATTTCCTCCATCGGTTGCAAAAAAATCTTTCTTCCTATATTTTGCCTAATTCTTATGCTTTATGAAACATTATTCCGTATCATGAACGTCTTTTATGATTGAATTATTTAATTTAAATTAATTCTGACCCTTGTGTTAACGTTCTTATAGTTTGGCATGGCTAATAATCGTCATTATCTGTTTCGTCAGTTGATGTTACTAAGTAAATTTAAATTTATCATTAATGCAATGATGACTATAAGCGAATTTCTGATTTACAATAAACTAAAGAATCGTTGGGACATGTTGGTTCTGATTATATTCACGATTACAATAAGCGGCATCTACTGTATTTGGATTTCTCTGTGTCTAAGTCAAATTTAAAACGAGAAAGATGAGAAAGAAAACAAAAATATATATTTTTCAATAAAATCCCTGCATTTTTACTAAATTTAAACGGTTAAGAAATATTATATAAATAACGAACAATTATTTCTTGTCACATCGTCACAATGCCGGGCTGCAATTTTTACTCATATTTTTAATTTATTTAATTTTAAATATATGCTCTACCACCTCAAATTAGTACTGTAATGTATCTTATCCCTGTACAACATACTTTTCCTGTTAGCAATAGAGTCGTGCCGTCATCTATCTAACTCCTTCCAAGGGAAAATTTTTGAATTATAATAACGTGACTTCCGGTTTGCATCAGAAGTTTATATATAGATAATCGGCTTCCCGCCCCTATGCCTTCCACACACGTCTTGAATTTCATTTATCTAACACCGTTTTCGAGATTAAGGAAAGATAAACAGACATGAAACAAATTCAAGAAACAATAAACAAAATAGAACTAATATTTACACATACATACAGATATATCATGAGTGAGTTCATACATGTATTTGGGCGTGTGTGTTTGTGTCTACGTGTCTGTTTCTGTGTGTACACACACGCATACAAATATATATTTTATACTGAATATCATTTATATATGTATACTGAATTTTTACTCAACTTTATCAACTATTCTACAGCTGTAAAGATGGTATACATATATAGAAGTTAGTCAAGGGACATTATTTCTACATCTGTCTGCAAGTTTTCTCGAAAACCAAGAATTTTAATTTCGAAAGTTTGATGATGATGGAACAGAAGACATTGGGGAAAAGAAGTTGAAAGATGTATGAGAGATAGCAAGCCCGTGCACAGGATATTGAAAAGGCTAAAGTTCAAAAAGAAATACGCACTTAATCTCACAATATAGGTAGGGTAACACAACATAATGGAGTGAATGGATATAAATTTATTTAATTTTTTATTATTTTCAAATGGGAAGAGTTAAATTTAAACCTCCAACAGTCACGTGAACTGCCTTTAGAGATAAAACAACTCGAAAGAGACTTATTAAAATCAGAAATAAGATAAATTGGCGAAAGAAAAAGATGATTTTTGTTGTACCATAAAATTATATTTTACTTACAAAAATTTTAAAAATAAAAATCCATCCAATATAACTATTGGATGGTAATAGTTATATTGGATGGATTATTATAGGAACAAGTGATTGATCTCTTACCCAAATAATATTAATTAACCAGATTGATATTTGTTTTTTTAAAATCATTTCAAAATAATTTAAAAACCTTTAAACTCTTTAAAGATTTAACAAATTAATTTTGAAAATTCAATTATAAAAATCATCTTCTTCAACGCATAATAAACATTTAGTTCAACTTTTAATAGATATAAAACTGAAAAAGCTATGTTTTAATCCATAAATTAATGGCTTCGAAAGACTTTTATCCAAAAAAAAAAAATTAAAGTTAAAGAGCAATATCTCGTAAATGCAACATAACTTTGACTTTGCTTATCGAACGAAGATCGTGTGTTGCATGGAACGTCCAACTAAAAGATAAGAAAACATATTTTTAAAAAAAAATTCACGACATTATAGGAACTTAAACGATTTTTAAATTTCCAGCTTCCAAAATATCGTATTTAATATTACCTATAAATTATATATAAAATTACTTACCGCAGCCAATTTCGTCGTTTCCTTCTTCACAGTCGTTATCGCCATCGCAGTGCCATCGAACAGGTATACAAGTACAGTTTTGAGATGAAGATAAACAGGAAAATTCGTTAGTCCCGCACGAGCAGGATGATGATGACATATCTACACATTATTGTAAATATAATGCATTAAGTATCACTACTTGAAACTATAAATAAATTAATATATATATTTTTTTAAATATAAACTTCAAAATTTTATTAATAATAATTTTTGGCTCTTATTTTTTTAAATAAATTATTCATCGGTGCAATAAATAATTGAAACAATTCGATTTGGATTTACTTTAATTTCTCTTTTAAAACCTTAAAAGGAAAGCAACTGTTACCAAATTTTTAATTACAGACAATGATTATATTTATAAATAAAGAAAAATAATTCATTATCGTATACAGTAATTTTCTGCAGTCATTAAGTGATGCTGCTAACAAGGTTTTCTATTAGTTAAATAATAAATTTCCTTGAATTTAATTACTATTTGCAGTATTTTTGGAATTCTTTTTTTTTTAAAATAATAATTAATAATGTTACAAATATTGCAATAACACACCATCAACTGCTGTAAATCATTAGGCTATAATTCAGTACTAATAATAATAATTTACAAATAAATTTGGCCTTAGAGGAAGGCTTTAGATGCCATTTTGTATTAAATTTAATTAAATAATTTTAGACTAAAGTGGAAGAAAAGAATAAGAAAGGAGCGGGACTCGAACCCGCAACCGGCAGTTGATGGTGTGTTATTGCAATGTATCCGGTTTAGTAAAGTTTTTTATAGTTACAAATATTGTAAAAAACAGGCTTTATCACTTTTTAAATTTAGAAAATTTCAATAAACTATTAAAATATAAGTTCGTAATGACGAAATAATTCGTTAGTTGATGCAGTAACATCTCACACGAGAAAGATTTTAGTCGAATTTCTTCGGATCTGCCACAATAATTTACGTAATTATAATTCTTAAATAATATTTTAAAAAGTATTATTTTTATTACAAAATAAATAAATATAATTTTTAATGCATATTTTCTTTCTTAAAATTCATTAATGTAGTTTTCTTCAACTCCGTGTTTCACATAAAATTAAGTTATAATTTAAATAAATTTATTTTTAAATAAAAATAAATTGTATCTGGAATAAAATGTATTTAGTTTTACGTCAATTCTTTTCTTCTTTTTTTTAAAAAGAAAAGCAGAAAATAGCACCGTAAAACAACATTCAAAACTTCTATAATTTAAACAGAATTTTACCATCGCATAAAAAGTATATGTAGAAGGTTATATAATCGAATGTTATTTCTACCAAAAGGAATGGGAAAAAAACAGTATTTACAGTATTCTAAGATCGAATTTTAATACGAATATTACAAAATTACATAGTTCATCAATGCCATTTTCTCCGGCAGAAAACAGAAAGAAAGAAAGAGAAAGAACAACAATAAAACGACATTTATAGTAAAAAAGGGGGGACCTTTTAAATGCAACTTTTGCTATATAAAAAAGTTATTGTTAAGTCTATCCTTCAGGCAATTTAAATTCTATTAAATGAATTGTTAACAACGTTATCGCCCCATAAATCTAAGGATCCCATCTGAATATTAAAATCTTCAACTTTAATATTTTATCCGTTTTCAAAACACTGCCAGGGCAAAAGTCTCTTCTTTTTATAGCGTAGGAAAGAAAAAATTTAATTTAAATATTTTTGATCAAATTCTCAAACATTACTTTTTAAAATGTATACTTAGATTTAGATACATTATATTGGTAGATGATACGTTTATATGAAAGAAAAGTTTTCACGAAAGTTCCGATATGAGAAGACAGATGATCAAATATCCCCACAAATTGTTGTCAGACAATGATGGACGAGCCACTAGTTTACTGAATGTCATCTATCTTTATCTAAAACAAATGTATTTTCTTATTGCATCATATGTTATTGGAAAACAAAATTAAAAAAACATCATAAAACACATTGAATAAGTTTACTTGAAAAAAAATAAACAACATTTAAAAGTGTTGTTTAAGTGATTTTGTAGGAAAAAATGGATGGCTTCAACATAGATTTAGTGAGGGATTTTTCTGCTGTTGCAAAATGGTAAAAAAATATTAATTTAATCGTTAAATTTTTATTTTAAACTCTTCTTTATTGTTACATTATTTTAAAAAAACTAAATTTAGAAAGCATTTCATTAAAAATTAGAATTGATGAAATAATTTTACAATGGTTTTTGATATAAATGAGATAAAATCGATAGCCTTTCTCAAATATAGATATATTTTATAACTAACATATGTCAAAGTATGTGTGTTTGTTAGATAAAAGTTTATGTATCATTCAACGTATCCGTACCAAATTTGGTACAAATATTCTTCGATACTCTATAAAAAAATATTGTAAGATCCTCCAATAACTCTCCAAAGCCCACCTCCCTCTTAAACTTATATAATAATAATAATAATAATAATGAAATTAAAAATTAAATAAAAGAAAAATAAATTCTTAAAACAAAAGAAGACTGAATATTAACCAAACAAAGAATAAAAATCAAAACAGAAGACACAAAGAATTTGGTAGATGCATAACACAGAGATTCAATAAAACCAAAAATTTAAGAGTCAAAAAAATATCAGAAATACATTAAAACTCTCAAATTTCTTTACTGTAATAAATTATTATAATTAACTTGTTCATATTTATTGGAAAAGTAATAGATCAAATTTATAAGTATTGACATATGTTATTTATAAACAGCATTTATTTTTAAATCATTTAATAATGTATAATAAAATAGTTAATATAATTTATTAAAATATAGAAAAAAAAAGTTGCTTACAGTCCATGATATGATCAAGTTGTCAGGTTCTGTTCCATAACCTTCTACTTTGTCTGGGTTTTTATATGGCACATCTGTTGGTGTTTCACATCTATCGGAAGGGGCACTTGGCAAACTGGGCCCAATTTTGTTTCGTGCTATTACACGAAATGTATAATTAGCCCATGGTGACATTGGTAACTATAAAAGAAATTAATAAACCTATTTAATACTTTACAAATTATTAAAATTGTTATTATTAGTATTAATAAATAAATAATTAAAAATGTCTAAATAAACTAAAAATGTTTTTCTTATGTTTGATAGCTGTATAATTCTGCTACTTCTTTATTAATTTTATTTAAATACATTTAAATCAAAAAATAAATTAATAATAAACAAGTAGCTAAGTGCAATTNTTGAAGAATTATACAGAGTTTTCATATTAAAACCTGTACAACTCTTAATAATTTCCACTATTTAAAAAATATGTAAATTATATTTCATATTTATTTTATAATTTACATATATTTAACGAAGAGGCAATCGATCTCATCCATCCTATATTTGATAATGACTCTAAACGGCTTTTATTACATTAATATGAAAGCATTTTTAGCAAATTTTAGAACTTTTGAGTTGAAATTTCCAGGTTTCACACCTATACATTTCCACTGTCGTCCGTCTGTCCGTCTGTCCGTCTGTCCTTCCTTAATGACGAGAAGGAGTTAGATAGATGGAAATCAACACAGTATATGGAAAAGGAACGGGGTGGATATTGAATTTTAACATTTAAAGATATGTTAATTTCGTTTTATTTCAATCATAATTAATGTTTATGAATTATTATTTCGTTTAGTTACAGATTAATTAATAATTTTGATAAATTAATCTATATAATAGATTTAGAAAGATTATTCGGTTTTAAAATTCCAAAAATTCCTGTTACAATTATTTAAATTTTGTGAAAATTTGTTATAATAAATTAAATATTGTATAATTTAAAACTTTCAGAAATTCGTTTATTATTAATAAATCTAAAATTCATAATTTTAAACTCACGCAACAAAATTTCAATTTTCAGAATTTTATTCGGTTTAAACGACAAACGTGATTTAATTACGTGAAACAAATAAGTTTTGAGATTTACTTTCCTATTTAATTTAAATATTGTATTAATTAATATAAAATAAGTTAAATTACTGTATATGGTATTATGTTTTTAACTCTTTCCGCCTGGGTACTAAGATCTTTTTATAGGACCATTACGGGCTTTGCCACCCATTATGACTTGGTTTGGTTTTATTCGTACGCGGCAACGCGACACATGGGCGATCTGCCGAGGGAGATTGATTCCGGGAGGTCTTCTACGAGAAACTGACCCATATTTAGGAGTTACTAACGTCAAGAAAACCAGAAAAACTCCACGTGGCTAGTCCATTGGACGGGCGCGAACCCACTACCAGTGTTCAATGGTTTTATCGTCACTGGTGAGCCACCATTGTGGACCAGGATATGATGGAGTAACCAAATGTGAGGGACGGAGCCCGATTTATTCGGAAAGATCATCCTCGAAAATTTCCTGGGATTTTTCGACCCATCCGGACTCGATCCTGGTCCCTCTGCGCAATAGGCTGCCATCTTAACCTCAGGACCATCCAGCCGTCAACGTATGTATAGTATGGGTTTAATATGAGTTTATAAATCAAATAGTTTAAGTGAATTTGCACCAAATTAATCTGATTATTTTCAAAAATAAGTGAAAAAAATTGTTTAAAATAATTAATAGTTACAAATATATTCAAATAAGTGTCCAATTATATACTCATTCGATTCTAGCAAAACTAATGTAATAGTTTTTCCCTCTCTAAGAGTAAACTTTATACATAAATCACTTTAAAATATCTCAATTTTGTCTCATTAAACAGCAAAACAGATTTAAAATATAAGAGGAAACACTAGCCTACATTGTTTAATATAAGGGTTATACAGAAACGGAGCTGCTTGTAATTACTGTTCATTTGTGTTATCAGTCAATCGAGTTGTACTGATTATTATTAATTGCCTCGCTGATATAACTAATGCTGATGAGAATATTAATAATACCACATCAATTAATTCGGTATTCTAAATATAGTATCTTAAAGAGCATTATAAGTATTTTGTTTAAAGTCTGAAATCCAAAAAGCTAAGCTGACAACGAAAGGAACATGCCCTACAGTCACACAACTTTCTATCAAAGTTTTAAGTAGAACCACTCCAAGAATTCTTTCAGCAAATCAAATAT